CAGGCCTTCTTGTTGGATTATTCCCCATTTGAACACGTCTTTATTCCCACGCAGAAGCACTGAGAAGACCTTCATTCTCTCAACAGTGTTGGCAATGAATCTCTTCAAAAAATTAACCTTCCCCATCAAGCTTTACAGCTCCTTAATGTTGCATGGGGGCCCAAGATCCTGGAAAACCTTGGCCTTATTTTTTTCAACTTTGATCTCTTTTTGATAGACCAAAAAATCTAAGAAATTCATTACTTGTACTCCGAAACGGCACTTTGCCAGGTTCACCTTGAGGTTATGCTGTCTCAACTGCATAAAGGCCTTCGAAGGTCCAACAAGTGGTGATCGAATGCTCGGGACTTTACGACCACGTCATCTATGTATATCTTCATACAAGCACCAATCAGGTTGTGAAATATTGCATTCATCGCCCTCCGGTAGGTTGCTCGCGCATTCTTGAGGCCGAAGGGCATTACTATCCACTTAAAGATTTTGATTGCTCCGGGGCAGCGGAAAACTACTTTATGGGCATCCTCCTCGGCCAGGTATCTTTGATTAAAGCCAGAGTAGTTGTCCATAAAAGAGAGGATCTCGTATCCAGCCTTAGATACCACGAGCATGTCGGTAATGGGCATCACGTATTCGTCCTTCGGCGTCGCTAAATTGAGATTCCGAAAGTCAATGCAGATCCTGATCTTTCCATTCTTCTTCACCATTGGAACAACATTAGAAATCCACTTCAGGTACCTACATTTTTTAATAAATTTAGCTTTAAGGAGTTCTTCGACCTCTTCCTTCCCTTTCGGTACCAATTCCGAATTGAAATGCCTAGGGGGTTGTTTGTGCTGCCATAATGAAGCTTGAGTAGATAATCGATGCTTCACTAAGCTCTTTGACAGCCCCAGTATCTCGTGGTAATTCCATTCAAAACAATGTTTCAATTCTCGGATCAAAGCAACCATTTCTCCTTCTTCTCGACATCAAGCAAGGTGCCAATCCGTGTCATCCGATGGGGCTGTCACATCTACCAGGTTGATCTCCTTCACTAGGTCTTGCACTTCAAAAGGTGGAGCATCTATTCGAATCGGTGAATGGATATCTTCTTCATATAGATCCAAAAAAGGCGGCTGGGAATATATCATTGCCCGCCCGTCATGAAGGTAAGCAACATGATTTTCGGAATATTTGAATGGGTAGCCGGATCTGCACGCTCGCGCTTCCCAATCCTAGAGGATCATGTCGTTATTCATGATGAACCGACGAGCTTTCGGGCCGCGTGTCGGCCTCGGTTTGGAGGCAAAAATTTGATCACCTTGACCTTGAAGTCGCCCTCGAAATATAAAGCTCGTTCAAGGTCTTGATCGGTGGCAATTATGTCCAAACTTGCTTCGGGTATCTCGTTGCAATCGAGTGTTCCGATCATCGGCTCATCCTCTGGGATCTCGGTTGTTCCGAGTACTGCATGGCCCTGTGAATTAACAAGACAATCATTGTTAGTAAAAACACACTTCGGCCTTCATTCTTTGCGGGCCCGAAGCCGGTGGCGCAAGTCCTCCCTATTTAATTCTGACCTTCTAGCAGTAGTTTCTTCCTGATTCTCGACTTGCTGCCCTCCAGCTTGACCTTCCTGGCAGTCGGCCGGCTGCCCCCTAGCGTGACCCTCCTGGTAGAGATGAGCCGCTAAGCATTTTCGCTGTATTCTTCTATTTTGGATCCTGGTAGGAGGTCGCAATCTCTGCCCCTTTTGATTCACGGCCCAACTTCCATCATCAGGGACCTTTTCGGAGAGACGTGTTTGATGTAGCGTAATTATCACCTGATCCACCAAGGTTACTCAGCATACCTCTCTTCCCTTCTCGAAGTTCACTTCGGCGACCGTATTAGTGGGGAAAGGTCTATCCCACACCGAGCTCCTTCTAGAGGGTTTGATCGACCTTTCAAGCCTTTCAAACACCGGTTTTCGAAGTTCCGTCTTCCTATTATTTTTTCCATATCCTGATGCTGACTTTTTAAGCCTTGTCGGACGTATTCCAACGGTATTTATTGGTGTGGAGAATAATTCGGTATCAACTTTCACTTCAAGTTTCTTGGCCAACTCAAAGCGGTCTTCTTTGATGGTCTTCCCCTGGGACTCAGCCAAGAAGGTCTTTTTCGGTTCATCCTCGGCTTCGCCAGCTTCTCTCTGGGCATGAGCATTGTAGTTTCCGCTCCGGAATTTTTTGTTTCGCGTCATTTGAGCCTTTTTCAAGGGTTGTTCGGCCTCTACATCTTTGGACATCGGCTGCCAAAAGTCGCGATACTTCTTAAGAGCTAGTCTGTCAAGCAGCTGGTGTGTCATGTTATTTATCCCAACATTCACCACCTGATCCTCCAGTACACGAACTAGGCATTTAGTTTCCGCTCTTCTGAATTGCTCCAAGAACTGCTCGATGGAATTCTTTCTTTACCAATCGCCATACATCCTATGAATTGCATCTTCGATTACCTATGGATTTATGATGGAATGTGATAGCGGCGCCATCTCTGCTTGCCCCCCAAGCTGTTCAGGAACTGCGTGAATAGGCGGCGAATTACTTTCTGCCGACTGCTGTAAGGCCTGATGAACAGGTCCCCGTTGTGGGAAACAACCTCGAAGGTCCTCTGTAGCTTCTCTGAACACTGGGGTCTGCTACAGTAGTGGATTTGGTTGGGCAGAATATTCGTAGGTTTTTTGCACCCTGGAACCAGCAGCAAATCGACCTTCCTCAGCAGGTCCTTGCCCCCTAGTGTATTTGGATAATGTTGGGACTAGTCCCCTTGGTTCTCAAGTCATTCCAAAAGGCTTTGAGACAAAGGAAGGTGTTGGAATCGCTTTTGGCCCTGCCCTCATACATTAGAAGCCTCTTGTCCGGATGTTGGATTTATTTAAATGTTCAGAGTGGGGACTAGGGTGCTGAAAGTAGTACCAGTAAATAAGGAATTATTTTGCTCATGTGGTGCTGATAGGATTGACCCTAAGGTTATCCCAAATATGCCGGTTGAAGGCGGCCCAAAGAAGGTTTGCCCGGAAGATGCCCGAGATTCTCCGACCTTCTGGGTGGTGATTGGAGGTCCTCCAGATCCGGTATCCCTACCAAAGATAGAGACATGACCATATTTGAGCATTTGGGATGTCAAATCTGCTGCGAAGCTAGTTGTAAGGCCCGCAGGAGGCCAAATCTCTGCCTGGCTGGAATTGACCTTCCGAGCCTTACTTTTTCGAGTTTCTTTCTCCAGAAGCAGCGCAAACTCGTTCGAATGGCGAGTTTCAGAACATCGGTAATGTATTGCAATAGTTCCAGGGCGGATCCGTGAAGGGATGACCGAATTTCCCCATGGATATGCTTCTGAAGGACGCTGGCTGGAAGGTTAATGATCTGGTCCGGCCTTCCAGCAGCCGCGGAAGCCTCGTTGCATAGGGCAGCTTCCTGTGTAGGGCGCGATGATGAATCGCCAATGATTTCTTTGTTTTTAAACATCTCTGCAGTCATCGGCGGCATCAATTCTCTTCTGAAGTTTCGTGCAAAAGTCGCGAGAAGTTGGTGTCACACTGGGCGTGTCAATTCTGTTGTTGTCAAAAATCACCTCCGGCGGCTTAATTGGAAGCCTGTCAGAATTGATTTGTTCGAATGATTCCCCGACCTCTTCAAGAAAAGATCCAGGCTATCTCGCGATAATCGAAAAATTAAAGTAAAAAAAATGAAAGCAAAATAAGGTTGTAAACTTAAAGAAAAAAAAAAAGAAAAATAGGAGATTGATAAAAGAATATGAAAAAGGGTATTGTTCTTGAATGAAAAAATAGAGAGAAAATCAATTGGTGAAGAAAAAAATAGGTTCAAGGAAGTGAATGTTGTGTTCTGCTTCCTTGATCTTGTTATTTTTGTTTGTGAATCTGTTTAGGTAGAATTTTATCTCTATTTTTCCTCCAACAAATTAAACTATCTTTAGCCACTTCTTTGACCTTCCTACTTCATTGGGCCGAATCGAGTTGAGCATTGGGTTGAACATCCCTGTGAGCCCGTTCATTGGTCTGAATCTTCTACTGGGCCGCTAACCTCTTTGAATTTGGACTGCGATTGTACCGAGCCAGCCCAATCAATTTTGAATGTTAACAGTATTATGATAATATTTGAGATGATCCAATTTATTAAAGCTAAATAAATTAACAACATCCATCCGATCCATAATTCACAAAACATGTGCAACTAAGGACCTTTTTTGGCAATTAAGCCAGCTAGCTAGCTAGTGCATGCACGTTGCAATTAGGCATTATTCTTAGAAATATATATATATAGCAACCAATTGAACACTTAATTAATTACTATCTCCCATGATGGAGGATATATGATGGAGGATATATATAGAGCTGATGACATGAGAACGTACACTCGAGTTCTCTGGTGTCCACTTTCGGATAGCGGCTGCAGGTTCCTACGTTATTAAAAAAAAAAGAATTCTCTTTCGGATCGGAGGTGTATATATGAACACAATTTAATTAATTTCAAATCCCATGCGACCACACTATATATATACTATAGTTATTGTTATATGCAACTATGTAATTAATTATTTTTGTTATTGTTAATATATAGTAATTTGTAATATTTAAATGATTGAGTCCACAAATTTTGTTGGAATCTTCATTTGGATATGTATTCTTAATTCAGCCTGTGCAGAACCAATTTTAACCATTTATTAAGCAAGCTAACGAAGTCATTTTAAATATTTTTTTGTTTTTTTTTTTTTTAGAATTAAAGGTAGAGATTATTTATCTGATGTAAAGTGACTATTTTGTGTTTTCATTGATATATAATAATGTGTGCAGTTAGACAGCCTTTAACTATTGACCAGTGATTATCCGTCTTCCAAGCTCCTCCTTAAATACATTAATATATATATATATACACCTTCTGAAAGAATTCCATTGTCATAGAGATTGTAGATTGATCTTTCATCTCATCAAATAAATTAGGAAGTAAGAAAAAGTTATAATAATGTCGGGAATCATCGACAAGATCGAAGAGAAGTTAGGGTTTGGGGAGGAGAAGAAACACGGGGAAGAACACAAACACGGGGAAGAGAAAAAGCACAAAGAGCATAAGGAGGGGAGCCATGAAGAGACCAAAAAGAAGAACAAGAAGAAGAAGGAGAAGAAGAAAGAAGGTGAACACCACCACGACCATGGCGGCCACAGCAGCAGCGGAGAAGACAGCGATTAGTTTCCATTTTCAAATTCTATAGTTTCTATACATTACTTATAATGCTTTGTTTGCATTTCTATTATAAGACATTGCTTTGTAGTGTAAGGCAATGTATAGCTTAAATTCTTGTTTAATTTCTTAAACTCTAGACCTTAATATGAGTTTTACCACATTTTTTTACGATTTTTTTTTTTTTACAAAAATATAACATCAAAAAATTATTTTTTTATATTATTACTACAAATTTATTTTACATTCAAAACATCATATCAACTTCTATATTTATATCACATCAAACAACTATTCAAATTCAATTTTTCACTATTAAAAAATTCAAACCCAAAAACTAAAAACTCACAAACAAACACACCCTTATTCTTGTTTGGTTCCGTACTTCTTCTTCTTTTTCTTCTATTGTTTTGTACTTCCTCCTTCTTTTATTAGTGACATAAGAAAATAAAGAAATGGTGTTTAATATGTTAATAATACTAAATTAATTATGATATTATTTTTATTATTATTTATGTAATTAATAATATTGAGAATTTTAAAATAAATTTAACATATATAATTACAAAATTAGAATATGTAAGTATTTAAATATTTTAATCATATTACAATAAAAAAATATATGGAATATGTATATCGTTTTTTAGAGATAAAATTTTTATAATAAAAGTAAATAAAAAATATTTTTATTTATTTATAATTAACATAAAATTAATTTTATAGAATATGTGGAGATTTAAACGTAGATAAAAATATTTATTTTTTTTAGGAGAGATAAAAATAAAGGGGTTTTGAGTTAGTCCTACATGATTTATGATGTTATATGTTATGTAGTTATTAAGTTGATTTATTTTGTTAAATATGTTTTGATTTAGTAAGTTTTACCCAAAATAAAAAGATTTCAATTATTATAAAACTGACAAAAATGAAAAAATGTCAATTGTTACGGGACAGACAGCCATGTCGTACAACTTCGAACTAAGAATTTCCTTTGTATAATATTTCAGTTGGTAGGATATTCATATTCTCATGTCATGGCGGCGATTAGCATGCATAGACAAGACCCCTATCAATACGAGGACATGATTTACAACCAAGAGTTATATCTAAAAGTTTACAGTAATATGATTAATTTGGTTCCAAGAATGTATGATTAGGATGATTCAAATTAGAGCTCGTTGATCCTTCGATCATTAGGAAAAGAAGTCACAGAAGCCTGATGTGAATGATGTCAATGAAAAAATTAAAACATCACGGTGAGGACTCACACATACCTGAGCAATCTAACTTTAATAAGGCCACAACAAGCAGAGCTGCAAATTTGCCCATGCTATGGTTCCACGTGGTCCAAACCCGATGCCGCCTACCCAACTTCGTTGTTTGGTAGACCCTAACACGAATTACATCCTAATTCATGATTCCAATAGGTGAGTTATAAAATGAACTGCTTCTAATATAAATTATGGACTGTGATGTTTTCTGATTCCTCATTTTTTGTTGTTGGTTTTGGGTGAATTATATGAATGCATTATAGTATAGTTGTTACGTACGAAATTTAGAATTAGGTTAAAAGCCCAAGGTAAAAAGAAGAATGGGCCTGGCAATAGGGTTGATTGAACTGGCTGAAGGACACCGTGAGGAAATCAAGGAAAATAAATTTATTTATTTATTTCTAAGGAAAATACAGGTCGGAAGGTTTTCAAGTCGGTAGGTCCTCAGGACGGAAAGACCTCAGGACGGAAGGTTCTTAGGTCGGTAGGTCCTCAGGACGGAAAGACCTCAGGACGGAAGGTTCTTAGGTCGGTAGGTCCTCAGGACGGAAGGTTCTCAGGTCGGTAGGTCCTCAGGACGGAAGGACCTCAGGTCGGTAGGTCCTCAGGACGGAAAGACCTCAGGTCGGAAGGTCTTCAGGTCGGGAGGCCCTCAAGATGGAAAGACCTCAAGTCGGAAGGTCTTCAGGTCGGGAGGTCCGCAAGACGGAAAGACCTCAAGTCGGAAGGTCTTCAGGTCGGGAGGTCCGCAAGACGGAAAGACCTCAAGTCGGAAGGTCTTCAGGTCGGGAGGTCCGCAAGATGGAAAGACCTCAAGTCGGAAGGTCTTCAGGTCGGGAGGTCCGCAAGACGGAAAGACCTCAAGTCGGAAGGTTTTCAGGTCGGGAGGGCCGCAAGACGGAAAGACGATGAGTCGGAAGGTTTTCAAGTCGGGAGGTCCGCAGGTCGGGTAAACTGTAGGTTGGATAGAAGGCGGAGTCGGACAAACGCGGAGGCCTTTGATCAAAGACAGGGGGCGGTTGATATGGAGGTCGGCCCAAGTGGGGTCGGGCGAAGAAGTAGGTCGGACGAAGGACGAAGTCGGGCCAAAAGAGCGGAAGGTTTGTGGTCGGCTCAAGGAGTGAAATATAGGGAATTTTGGTCTGCTGGGGACACGTGTCAGCATGAGAAAAGTTGGAAGACGGTTGAGAAGGAGACGTTGTAACCGTTCGGGTGACGGTTTTCAGTACGGTTTCCCAGGGAATATTTAAGGTTTGAATCATCATTTGGCAAGACATCTTCAATCAACTTCAACAAAGCAAAGTCAGATTTGGGGATCACCACTTTAAATTTCAGTCTTATATTTTCCAGTTTATTTTCTGTACCATACAGTGTTTAGAGATTCCTAATCTCAGGCACTAATTAATCAAGTTTAAGGATATTTTCTATATCTTTGAATTTTACTTTATTTTTGTTGAAAAATTACATCAACAAATTGGCGACCACAGTGGGAGCAAGACAAAATTGCTCATTCCAACTCCGGCGATAATTTCATACGTCTTAGATCCGACCGAATCATCGGAAGGGTTATGGCAGGTTCACAACCGCAAGCATCTTCGACACCGGTGGGAGAATCCGTTCCACCACCCATTGTGCCAAATGCCGGGGAAATCCCACAACCACCAACTGATTGGTGGTCTTATGTTCAACAAATGAACAACCAGCATACCTTGGTTATGCAGAAGATGTTGCGTGAGCAACAAACGAACATGTTGCGTGAGCAACAGAGTCAGTTGCAAAACATGATAGATCAAGCACTGTCAAGGGTTAGTCTTCAACCCACTCAAACGCCACCAGGAGTGTCACCGTCCAGACCACAGGCAAATTTCGCAGGGCCATCATTCGTGGATAGTACATTCCCAAGTGCCACAAATCCCAACCGAATGGATAGGGGAAAATCTCCTTTGACTTTTCCCAACAATGTTCACTGGGACCAAGGGTTACCAATCCGCAGCCGAGCAATACAAGGGAGGACAGGCCTGAAGGATATATACATGATCCTATTCATATTCCTGTGCAGGATCCGTTCCATGTTCCTGATCATCAACGCTTTCATGTAGATCCTGACGAGATTGCACATATATTAAGGGATCAGTATGGATTAACTCCTCAGATGGCTAACCGCCCTGCATATCAGAGACCTTTCCCAGAAAGGATCATTAATGAACACCCTCTCCCAAGGAATTTTCGACCACCCGACTTTCATGCATTCTCAGGGGAGGACGGATCTTCCACCATAGAACATGTTGGTCGGTTCACAGCACAATTAGGAGAAGTTGGCAATAACCCTTTTTATAAGTTACAGCTGTTTGGTTTATCTCTTACTAGAACGGCGTTTTCGTGGTTTGTAAGTTTGCCTCCAGGACAAATTCAGACATGGGAAGGACTGGAGATGGCATTTCACGCTAGATTCTTTAATCCTTTACCAGTTGTTTCTTTAACTGATTTACTTGAATTGAGACAGTATCCAGAAGAAACTGCTTCACAGTTTATAGAAAGGGTGCGATTGATGAAGGGACGATGTCCTACGGTAATCAGTGAGAAAGAGATGACCAATTTAGTGGTCCGGAATATGCATAATCGTTTAAGAAAGGCACTCACTGCCCTGGATGTTGAGGATTTGGCAAGTCTTGCATCCAAGGCAGGACGTCTAGAGTCTTTGTTCAGAGAGGAAGATCAGCATAACAGGCGTAATAGAGGCCAACATATGGCGAGTATGGGAACAGAAACATGCGACTTTGATTTTAATCAGTCAGAAGAGATGGCAGCCGAAATCCTTTCTGGAAAACCGTATGTATGTCCTAAATTGAAGCCAGTACCAGGATCTGAAGGAAAGGAGCAACCGACCTTTGATAGTTCGAAAGCTGATGAAATCTTTGATATCCTACTGACTGATGGGCAGATCCGTATTCCAAAGGGCCAAAGACTTGCCACTAAAGAAGAAATCAAAGGGAGACCATATTGTAAGTGGCATAATTCTTTCACACACACTACAAGTCAGTGTACTCATTTTAGGAAGGAAATTCAAAAGGCCATCAAGACAGGTCGGCTCAAATACATCACTCTAGGTGTAGACCAGCAACCGTTTCCGGATGTAACAACGGAAATGGTTGACATCCAACCAAGTTCGAAAACAAGGAAAAGTTCGGCCAACGATGGACAAAAAGGGGAACGAAACCAGCCAAGCCCCGAAACAAAAAAAGGAAGTCGGCCAAACAGCAGCCGACCGGAAGAACGACTCAAAATTTGTGAGAAGCCAGTTGCTGAAAAGTGGGACCATCCAGATGGTTCTTTTAATGTGGAGGTGAAAGAAAAGGTTTTGATACGTGATCACCCGACCAGAAAAACAGGGTCGGTCGGGAGCAATTGGGCTCGAAATAAAAAGCCTTTACCAGTTGATATAGACTCTCGTTTCCCGGGTATGAATCGTACACAGATTCGCAATGCCAAACGCAGGTATGCTGCAAAGTATGGGAAAAGAGGTCCTTCAACAAAACAACTAACCGACGAACAAAAAGCAGCCGACCACTTGGCAGGAGATCAGTCCATTCGGATCTTTACAGAACAAACGACCAACGAGCAGGGAGTAACCATTCAGTCTCCAGTTGGTCGGTCCAGTCGGGTCTGGTCAGGAAAGCAACCGAATGACGGATTAGGCGCTGCCGACCATACCAAAAGAAGTTCGTCGGGACTGGGGAA